AGCAGGGAGGGGAGGGCGACGGGGGGAGAGGGGGGAGGGTGAGGGGAAGTCCTTCAAGAAGTTGAGAGGAGACAGATTGACGAAGGGTGGCAAAGTTGGGATGACCCAACCGATGGTGAAGGAGGACGGCGGGATGGGTAAGGTCACGACAGTGACAGGAGGGGGAGGAGGGAGGGGAGGGGGAGGAGGGAGGGGAGGGGAGGAGGGAGGGGGAGGGGAGGCAAGAGGAGGGGGGGAGGGAGGGGAGGGAAGGGGGGAAGAAGGGGAGGGGAGGAGGGGGGGGAGAGGGGAGGGGGGAAGGGAGTGAGGGGGAAGTAAGGTGGGAGTGGTGAGTTGGTGGATGGAGGGGCGAGGGGTGCGGTATGTGTACAGGTTTGTGTGTGGGCAGAGGGGAATACGACAGATGAAGCGACCAGTGATGGTGTGAAAGAGGTCGCAGTGAAGTGCATGTCCGGGGAAGATGGCGGTGACACCTAACCTTGGGAGGTCACGAAGTGCTACCAGATTGTTGCGTAGGGAGGGGACGTGTAGACCTGTGACTGTGCCTGAGGGGAAGATGGGGCAGGGGAGAGTGGAGGTGTGTCGACTTGTGATGGTGAAGCTGAAGTCGGCTCCGTAAATGGTGGAGGGAGTGGGGAGGGGGACTAGTGTGCCTGCGTCCCGAAGGACAGTGTGTGTAGCGCCGCTGTCAAGAATGAACTCAAGGAGTGTAGAGGAGGAGGAAGAAGCGGAATACTGGAAGGATGTCTCATTAATAGCATGGGCATACATTGAAGGAGCAGGAGAAGCAGTGCTAACATGTCCTATGAATCCAGCAGAAGGGAACGGAGTGAAGCCAGGAGGATTGGAGGAGGAGGAGGGCTGGTCAGTAGGAGTGGTAGCAGGTGGAGGAAGCACAGGGCCGTATTGAGGAGGTGGATAAGGAGGGTATGGCCAGCCGGTATAGGGCGGAGGATAGTGGGGGGGAGGGGCTTGAGGAGGAGGTGTGGGTGAAGGGGGAATGGGAGGGGTGGGAGGGGTGGGAGTGGGAGGAGATGAAGGGAGAAGATGTTGAACTTGCTGGAGGATATGAGGTGGGAGATGCTCAGTGAGGACATTGTGAAGATTAGGGGTGGAGGGTTGATAGGCGGGGAGAGTGCGTATGTCATGGAGAGAGGGGCGCGGGAAGATGGTGTTCCATCGAGGTGGGGTGCCGACATTGCCACGTGCAAACCACTCATCAGTGAGGGCTTTGAAGCACGTGTCAGTGGTGTGAGTGGTTTGAGCGCAAGGCTGACCTTTGTTGGAGCCATAGCGAATGATGTACTGACACGGGGGAAGGGTACCCGAGGGAGAGGGGTTTTTGCCACGCCCACCACGGCCGCCACCACGACCACCACCGCGTCCACCGCCTCGCCCACCACCTCGTCCACCACCGCCACCGCCAGTACCGCTTGAGCCGCTACCTCCGCCGCTGCTGTGGTTGCCTGCGGGAGTTTTGCGAGCCTGGATAGCATTGATGGTGGTGGAGTCACGTTGGATGTCCGCTTCGCTGTCAAGGAGCCAGTCGATTGTGTCAGCCACAGGAGGAGGATGGCGGTACCTAGAGGTAAAGGTGATGCGGTAGGTATCGTATGTGGGTGGAAGGCAGTCGAGGATGCGTGCAGTGAGAAGTGATTCATGAATGACAATGCCGCGGTCGTTGAGACGTTGCGCAGTGTCGATGAGGCGCCGAGTGAAGGCAGCAGCAGTGGGGGATGAGTCAAGAGTGGTGTCTTGAAATTTGCGAAAGAGAGCAAGGAGAGAGCGAAGGTCCTGTCGGTCGTACTGAGTGGACAGGGTTTTCCAGAGGCCAGAGGAGGAGGTGGGGCGGAGGTCACGTTTGAGATGGGAAGGGATGCAGGAGAAGATAATGGCTAGAGCGCGGCGATCCGCAATTCGCCATGCTGCAGTATCCTTGTTGAACTTGCGAAGTTCATCAGCATAGTCTTTCTCATCCTGTGCGTAGGAGAGGATACGCGCAGTAGCATCAGCGTGAGCCTTCTCAGCAGCACGGTGCGCCTCACGCTGGATGGTGTAGGCATCGCGAAGCTTGTTGTAGTTGTTCAAGTTGGCCGCCCATCGATCTGGGTTGTCATCATGAACTGGGGCACGAGGGGGATCAGACAGAGGCTCTGGGGGAGGAGGGGCATCAGGAGGAGGAGGCTCAAGAGGAGGAGGGGGGACGGGTGGAAGGCCGTTAGGGTGCTCAAGAACTACATCAAGAAGACAGTAGTCTTGAACAATGACAGAGCCAAGGTGGGTGTGAAGTGTGTCCTCAAACGACGCCCAGTTCACGGCCGTAGTGTCATGGAGGAGTTCGAGCTTATCGATAGCTCCGAGTTCAATGGGAGTAGAGTCGTCCGCCATGAGGGGGGAGGAGGGGGGGGGAGAGGGTGACGACACCGGCTGGAGGGCGGGTGCGGTCAAAGACGACACCACCTGGAGGGGTGGCGCGGTCACGTTGCGTGCGGCAGCGCTTCGTCACCCGCGGCTGCCCCTTGTCGCCCGCGGCTGCGTCTCGTCGCCCGCGGCTGCGCCTCGTCGCCTGCAGCTGTGCCTTGACGACACGCGGCTGCTCCTGGACGCGTCCGCAGCGGTCGCCCTCGCTGGTCGCGTCCGCGGCGTCCGCACGCGCTGGTCGTGTCCGCAGCGTCGCCCTCGCTGGTCGCGTCCGTGACGTCCGCCCGCGCTGGTCGCGTCCGCGGCGTCCGCCCGCGCTGGTCGCGTCCGCGGCGTCCGCCCTCGCTGGTCGCGTCCGCGGCGTCCGCCCTCGCTGGTCGCGTCCGCGGCGTCCGCCCGCGCTGGTCGCGTCCGCGGCGTCCGCCCTCGCTGGTCGCGTCCGCGGCGTCCGCCCTCGCTGGTCGCGTCCGCGGCGTCCGCCCTCGCTGGTCGCGTCCGCGGCGTCCGCCCGCGCTGGTCGCGTCCGCGGCGTCCGCCCTCGCTGGTCGCGTCCGCGGCGTCCGCCCTCGCTGGTCGCGTCCGCGGCGTCCGCCCCCGCTGGTCGCGTCCGCGGCGGTCGCCCTCGCTGGTCGCGTCCGCGGCGTCCGCCCTCGCTGGTCGCGTCCGCGGCGTCCGCCCTCGCTGGTCGCGTCCGCGGCGTCCGCCCGCGCTGGTCGCGTCCGCGGCGTCCGCCCCCGCTGGTCGCGTCCGCGGCGTCCGCCCCCGCTGGTCGCGTCCGCGGCGGTCGCCCTCGCTGGTCGCGTCCGCGGCGTCCGCCCCCGCTGGTCGCGTCCGCGGCGGTCGCCCGTTCTCGTCGCGTCCGCGGCCGTCGTTCGTCGCGGGTGTGGCGTCCGCCCGCGATTAGGGTTTCGTCGGTCGCGGCGGTCGCCGATGCTCGTCGCGGGAGTGGCGTCCGCCGGCGATTAGGGTTCCGTCGCTCGTGCTGGCCGTCCCGACGGTCGCGCTGGTCGTTCCGACGGTTGCGCAGATCGTTCCGACGGTTGCGCGGATCGTTCCGACGGTTGGCGTGGCCGTTCCGACGGTTGATGGGTTAGTGGGAGAGAGGGGAGAGCCGCGAGAGGCGGAATTGACTGTAGAAAGGAGGGAGGGGGGCGCTGAAATTTAGCGCAAGGGGAGGGGGGGGGCGTGACGGCGTAGGGGCGCACTAGGCGCAAAGGGCGACGTAGTGTCGCGTGAGAGAGGGGGGCGTGATATAGCACGCGGTATGTGCGGTCCTTAGGATCGAGATGGTGTGAGCCGTAGTTGCTCTGAATACCATGTGAGAAATTGTAAGAACAACCGATAGTTTCATTAGGAAGGGCATGGGTTTACATAGTTGAGCTAGGATGTAGGAGCCATGCCAACATTATTGGCCCCCACCAATAAGTTGGGTTGAGGAGTTATTGGGGGGACCAATAATGTTGACCAAAAGTGGGTCAACATTATTGGGGGGGCCAATAATCTCCCAACCCAACCTTGGGGGCCCAATAATTGGGCCAAGGTTGGGTTCCAACCTCAAACTAGGGTAAACCCTAGTTGTGCACCCAAACTAAGTTTGGGTGCCTATCTCTAGTCAAAGCGTATATGATGATGCAGGTTACAATGAAGATGGTAATCTGACACCCCCCCTCCTGTGAACTGCTTCGCTTCCCCTGCCCCCCCCCCTCCTGTGAACTGCTTCGCTTCCCCTGCCCCCCCCCTCCTGTGAACTGCTTCGCTTCCCCTGCCCCCCCCCTCCTGTGAACTGCTTCGCTTCCCCTGCCCCCCCCCTCCTGTGAACTGCTTCGCTTCCCCTGCCCCCCCCCTCCTGTGAACTGCTTCGCTTCCCCTGCCCCCCCCTCCTGTGAACTGCTTCGCTTCCCCTGCCCCCCCCCTCCTGTGAACTGCTTCGCTTCCCCTGCCCCCCCCCTCCTGTGAACTGCTTCGCTTCCCCTGCCCCCCCCCCTCCTGTGAACTGCTTCGCTTCCCCTGCCCCCCCCCTCCTGTGAACTGCTTCGCTTCCCCTGCCCCCCCCCTCCTGTGAACTGCTTCGCTTCCCCTGCCCCCCCCCTCCTGTGAACTGCTTCGCTTCCCCTGCCCCCCCCCTCCTGTGAACTGCTTCGCTTCCCCTGCCCCCCCCCTCCTGTGAACTGCTTCGCTTCCCCTGCCCCCCCCCTCCTGTGAACTGCTTCGCTTCCCCTGCCCCCCCCCCTCCTGTGAACTGCTTCGCTTCCCCTGCCCCCCCCCTCCTGTGAACTGCTTCGCTTCCCCTGCCCCCCCCCTCCCCACCCTGCTTGCCCCCTCCACCTCCCCTGCTTCCGCTACCCCTCCCCCCTGGTGCCCCCAGGTGTTCATACACTGTACTGTCCCCCCACCCCTTACCCCTGCTTCCTCACTCCCTCCCCCATCGCCCTTTGCCACCCCCAGGCGTTCACCCAGTGTGACAATTCATGAACGAGGCGGTACGAGGGCACGGGGCTGGGCATGTGCTCCTCCTTACCCACCCCCCCGCTTCCCCTGCTCCCTGCCCCCCCACCCCCCCTGCTCTTCCCCCTCTGCAGGCGTTCACGCAGTGTGACAACTCACGAACGAGGCGCTACGAGGGCACGGGGCTGGGGATGGCGATCGCCAAGGACCTGTCGGAGCGCATGGGGGGCCGCATCTGGGTGGACACGGAGCTGGGCATGGGCTCCACCTTCCACTTCACCATCCACGCGCACGGCACCATGCTCCAAGCCTCCAACATGCTGCCCTCACTGCTCGCCAATCAGGCGTCTGCTTGCCCTCTGTTGACCTCCAGTGCTGCTTCGAGCGCTAGTGCTTCTGCTGGTGGTGCTGCTGCTGGTGGTGGGGAGGAAAAGGGTGCTGCTGCTGCAGCTGCTGCGGCTCTCAGCACTCCCACCAGCCACAGAGTGAAGCTGCCAACGTCCGCCTCCACCCCCTCCTCTGCCTCCCCTACCTCCACCCCCCCTGCCTCTCTCTCCGCCGCCATCCCTCCTCGCTCCCCCACATCTCGCTCGCCCCGCCAATTCCCACGATCCAAGACCGTCCCATCTGCCACCACCTCTGCCGCTGCTACTGACTCATCCGCTGCAGCACAGAGCAGCGGGGATCAGCCTGCTTCAGCCGATTCCAATGCTTCAGCGCCCTCCACCCTTCCCAGATCCGAGAGCGATAAACCCTCCCACACACCCTTCCCCCTCCCTCCCGACTCCACCCCAACCCTGTCGCCCCTACACACGCTCTTCCTCACTCCTCCCATCACCCCTCTCACGGGCAAGCGGGCACTGCTAGTGGGAGTGCCGCAGACATTCCACCGCATGTTAGGGTCCATGTTAGCCGCGTGGGGGGTGTCGTGCACTGCTGTGCGCACCGTGGACGCGTTCTGGGATCAGTGGACGGGTGAGGAGGGCGGGCTGGGGCGTGCCGCTGGGTGTAGTGAGAAGGAGCAGCAGAAGAGCCTGCTCAAGGTGTACCGGTCGGGTAGTTGGAGCGATTTGCCGCTGTTTGGGTGGGCGGATGACGAGGGTGATGGGGAGAGTGAGGGGGGGAAGAAGCGAGCGGAGGGGAGAGGTGATGGGGGGGAGAGGGTGAAGGGGTATCCCAGGGCTATGAGCACTCCCAGAGGGGTGTTTTCAGGGAGGGCGGACGGAGCAGGGTCGTCTGAACAAGAACGCACTGATGATGACGATGACGAGGAGGGGGATGGTGATGGTGATGGTGGTGATGGTGGTGATGGTGGTGATGATGGTGGGAATGAGGGGGAGGAAGGAGTGGGGGATGGGAAGCAGGAAGGGGAGGAAGGGGAAAGGGGGAGAGGGGAGGGGAAGGAGCGGAGGAAGCGGGGCGGAGAAGAGCTGTCGTTTCTGGCGCGGGTGCAGGCGAGGCAAGGGCAGCGCTTTGATGTGGTGCTTGTAGACGGACCAGCAGTCACGAGCAGCAGAGGGTCTGGCGGGCAAGGGAGGTATGGGGGAGCGTTGGCATCAGCGCTGGCAGCGCAGCACGAGCAGGAGCGTGCGCTGCTGATGATGCATCTGGGGTGTGCGTGTGCCGCCATGGTGCCCACCTTCCTCTTCCTCTCCAAACACTCCAAGCGCCAGCTGCCCTTCGACCCCGCACTGCTGGTGAGCCCTTCGACCCCGCACTGCTGGTGAGCTTTGTTGCCAATCTCGAAGGCAGGGGGGTGCTCAAAGGAGTGTGGTTGCACTCTGAAGGAATTCGGTTGCAGCCTTTCAAGAACTAAAGTCTTTCCCTCCTCTTCATCTATTCTCCTGTCTGCAAGGTGGCAGTGCTCTCGTGCCCAGCTGTACAAGCACCTCATACACCACCTCGCCACCTGCTTCCTCTCTGCTGAAGGGTATTTTTGAGAATTCTCACAAAAACCCTTCAGCAGCTGTACGAGCACCTCATACACCACCTCGCCCCCTGCTTCCTCTCTCCCCCCTCACTTCCCCTTCATTTTCTCCCCATCTGCTCCCCCGTCCCTTACCTTGTCGCCAGCGCAAGGTGGCGGTGCTGTCGCGGCCAGTGAGGGTGAACCAGCTGTACAAGCACCTCATAGAGTACCTCGCCCCCTCCGCCCTCGCCAGCGTCCCTGCCGTCCCCGACTCCCCCCGCTACGAGACCCCCGCCTTCTTCGACGTGAGTCCCTCGTTCTTATTCCCTATATCCTTGTCCCCAGCCCTTATTCCCTATTTCCTTGTCCCCTCCCTTTCCCTCACACCATACCGGATCGCTTATGAATAAACAAACTATAACAAACTCTGTAGCATTATGTATAAACCAAAGCTGTATCGCCCCCCTCATCCTCTCCGTTTCCTCCCCTCCCCCTCTTCCCCCTCGTCCCTTCCCCTCCCCCTCTTCCCCCTCGTCCCTTCCCCTTCTCCCTTCCACTCTATTCCCCCCACCCTCGCCCCTCCACCCTCTCACCTCACCCCTCCTCCACCCTTTCCCCTCGTCCCTCTTCCCCGCACACCTTCACTTGACCCACACAGGAGCCCTTGGACCTGCGGCCAGCGCCATCAGCAGTGTCGCCGTCACCGGCACCGGCAGGGCTGTCGGGCATCTCGGTGCCGTCCTCCTTCACTGGCTGCTCCTCCGCCCCCCTCGCCTCCCTGCCCGCCTCCATCCCCACCTCCGTCTCCACCACAGGTACGCCCTCCTCCACCCTCTAAAGCAGGTACGCCCTCCTCCACCCTCCACCGCAGGTACGCCCTCCTCCACCCTCTAAAGCAGCTTCGGCCAGGTCTTCTCTGCACAGCGTGCAACCGCTCAGCTTTGCTTCCATGCAAGCACCCATACCAGGCAATGTCACTGCCTGCTCTGTAGCCTTACCATCCGCGCTCACTCATCCCCACGCATCCCAGCCCCACCACACCCTACCTCACGCCCCTCACACCACACCTGCACCTCACACCCCCCGCACCATCCCATCCGGTGCACTCCCCCAGGTCCGGCAGCAGGGTCGGACCCAGAGGAGGTGGCGAAGGCGGTGGCGCGGGACGTGGCAGCGCTGCGGGTGGCGGTGGTGAAGGAGCCCATGCCGCTGGGCGTGGTGCGCGCAGAGCGCTCCAGCCCGCGCCCGGGGGACCTGCAGGTGCTCATCGCCGAGGACAACATCGTCAACCAGCGTGTGCGTGCTTGTCATCAATTGATTGTTGTATGCTGTTGAAATTCCAGTGTGCCTGGCCGAGCGCATGTGCGTTTTCATGAGTGATGGTATTGAGTGAGCGTGCATCTGGGCAGGTACTGAGGCCCTTTCGTGTGTGAAATCACGGTCCATGGGTGGGTGCAGGTGCTGCTGAAGCTGCTGAACGGCATCGGGGTGAGGTCATGCTACACTGCAATCAATGGACTCGAGGTATTTCCTCCCTTGCCCCTCCAACCTCTTTCCTCCTGCCTTGCCGCTTCCTCCCTTCACACCATGTCCCTGCCGCCTCGCATGCACTCCCTATGCACTTTCCCCAGAGGCATAAACTCGTTCGCTGCTCCCTCTGCACTGCTTCATGCTCCCGTTTCTATCCACCGCTGCTGTCTGATCCCTCTTTCCCCTGTCGCCACCCCCCCCTGGCGGTGGCACTGCGTGTGCGCTCTGGCACCAGGTGATGCAGCGGCTGCGGCAGGTGACGGTGGATCTGGTGCTCATGGACGTGCAGATGCCCGAGATGGACGGCCTCACTGCCACCGCCTGCCTCAGAGTAACCCACACAACCTCTCTTTACCGTTCTCAACTGTTCCTCACTACTCTCCACTCAAGTTCAAACATACTTCAGCCTTTCTCTGTGCCTCTTCAAAACACATGTTGACCTCGTCATTGCTACTATTCTCCCTCCCTCGTAACACACTTCTTCCTCCAGAGGGAGCTGCCGCCAGAGCAGCAGCCAGTGGTGGCAGCGCTCACAGCGGATGTGGGATCGGGAATAGAGTCCGAGTGCAAGGCTGCTGGCATGAACTCTTACCTAAGCAAGCCCGTCAGCAAACCGGCGCTTCAAAATTTCATTTCCAAATGCCTATCGTGGAAGCAGAAGGGGGCCATTGATCCTCTGAAGTGGATGGACTGAGTGGGGGTCTGATCCGATAGCAACAGGACTAGGATTAGTGGGTTTCAGGTTTAGGTAGGTATGTTTTTTAAGGTTCAGTTGAAAGCGTGCCCCAAACAAGTTAGGGATACGACCAGCTATTTTGGTTACATAATCGTGAGTGTTGTTGATTAGATCTAGTCTACAAAACAGGATTTGATGTAAGCATGTTTTGCTACGTCACCTATCTATGTCATCTCATATTGATGCAATGTGCCAGTCGAGTCTCGGCATTATCGAAGTTGAAGTTTCCCTGCTTTCCGTTGCCCTACCCCCCATCTTGTTCCAGCTTGCCTTGGAGTTCTGTGTGCTGCTGCTGTTGTTATCGACGACAGTCCGCGTTGTCCTTGTTTCTGTGATCACTAGACATTCCTGCATTGCTTGCTTTATTCGAAGAAAGCATTTGCTCCTCTGTGCGTGGTCGCTCTCATTAGATCCGGTGTCATGGAGGGTTCCTCGTCTCGGGAGGGAGGCATTCAGCTCCTGTTAGCTGCAGAGCAAGAAGCGCAGAAGGTCGTAGCTGCAGCTCGTGCAGGTGGGTCGCTTCGCTAGCTTCTGCAGTCCGGATCTTTCACTGGTCGATGCAACGATTAGGAAATAGTCTTCCTGTCAATATGATCCTCACGTAGTCATTCTCCTTCGGTTCCCGCACTACCATTTTGTTGACCTGTTGATTTCCAGCCAAAACTGCTAGGTTGAGGCAAGCGAAGGAGGAAGCGGAGAGGGAAGCCGCTGCTTACCGCGCTCAACGCGAGGAGGAGTATAGGAAGAAAAAGGCCGGGGTAAGTGTTACTTCAACATTGCATTTCAGCGGAGACATGACATTTGTTGAAATATTTGAAACTGTACGGATCCATTGTGTCTTTACAATGGTCGGTTGATGTATACAAGCGCCGTTGCATTATTGTTTCGCGTCTCTCACCGTACCATTTGACAGACGTCAGGCGACTCGGAAGCGACCGTGAAGCGGCTGGAAGTGCAAACAAGGCAGAAGATTGATCAGCTGACTAAGGAAGCGGGCAATGTGTCGAAAGATGTAAGTCTCCCTGTTTCCTTAGGTGATGTGATGGCATTCATCCGTCTTTCTTCCTATCCTTGCATCTTTGTTCCTTATGAGTTTATCATGCGAACCTGTTTCACTGCGCTGATGTGCAGGTTACTGCAATGCTCCTTGATCTTGTGACAACAGTGAAGCATTAATATCGTTACCTTCTCGCCATGGCCACTTCATAAGGTGTATATTGCAGCATCTGTGGCTATAAATTTGTCACGATACTATGATACGACCATTGTTGTATGCAGGCTGTTCATATGATGGTTTATGGAGATTCAGGTTCAGGAGCATCCACCTCTCTGTCAGGCTTGCTGTCCCTTCCTGCCTACAATGGTTTAAAAATCAAGTGTTCAGTAGTCTTGTTTGGTTTGGAGCATGGGATTGAAAAATATTTCCTTCCAGCTTGACATCTGCACTCAGAAATCCAAGAGCAGCTTTGGGAGAATCCTTTCTAAATGAGGACCTTCAATCTCAGTGGAACCTTCTACCTCTGCCTGCTCTGTTGCACGGCCTACTGCTTCTGCATACCAAAAAGTACAATTCAGGGACTACTGGTATCATGAGCTTCAGAATGTTACTTCGTTCTGACTGAAATGGGGAGTGCATGCATGCACCCCTGCGTAAAAAAATGCAACTCACCTTGAACGAATAGCCGAAGAAGGCCACAACAAAGGCGTTGAGCTGGTTTGGTTACTGCCAAGACGGTTAGGGCAAGGCTTGGGAAGAGAAGAGGTAAGTTACATGTGTGGTACCATCACCCCACCTAATGACATGCTTCGTGTTTCACCTAACACAAGCACAGCATTGCAGGCATATGGAAGTGATGCCTACCAGGGAGGGCTCCTGCTCCCATGCCCACAGTGGACTGTCTCTTTCGTTTCTTCCGTTGCCCTGTTGCTTCACCGCCAACCTCGGCAACATCCGTTGGCCCATCACTCCCTTCAGCGGACCCAGCATGCGGATCCGCGTTGGCCATATCATCCTCCCCTCCAGGATGTATTGCTGAACCTGATTCTCCTGCGCTTCTGATGAGTCCTTGAGGCGAATCAAAAGGAGCAGCTACACGATCAAGGCTGGTTCCATCCTCGCCCCCTCGCTCTGAGGTCGAACCTGGAGGCTGGGCCTGCCATACGGCGGTGTACCCTGACGTCAAATACTGGCATCGAACCCTGGAAAGCGGAACCGGCTACACGATCACGAAATAAGGCCAGAAACGAACCTGCGAGCGCGCATCCGCTGCGTACACATGTCTGAAGAACTCCGTAAGGACTTCCTGCCAATAGAAAGCCCGGAATCAGTCAACGCGGACCTGGGTCTCTGCTCACATGGGAGCAATCTACTGCGAGCGGGCTGTACGAGCGTAAGGGGAAGGAACGAATCTCACTGGGAGAAATTGGCCATGCTCTTCGTCCATCTCGCAGGGCTTCAGGAAGAGGATGCACGAGCTACAACTGGTCGTTGGTGGTGTGAGGTGGCAGCGTACAAATTTGAGGTTTGCCGACTTCTGAGCCAGTGGAATTGCGTTGAACATTTCAGGCAGCAAAATTACAGGCAATCATACAGAAGTTGATGGGCGTGCCATTTGGCTAAAGACCCTCGGAAATTGCTGGTGAGACCCCCAATGTACCTTATCCATGCCTCCTTTGCATCTACCAACTCTATTTGGGACGTGCTCAGTCTACATTGGGAGTACTTTGAACATCGTTTCCATTTGCCACAGTTGTGACAATTCCGCTCTTCTGTCCTTGGATAATTCTGCCACTTGTGGAAAGCTGCAACCTGCACATTTCCAGCAAGAACAAAGGGAGGAAAACGAGGCATTGCCGAACTGTTGGAGTCATTCTCACTCAACCAAACCCATTTTCCAGCCCCCACCTTCCCCACCCCTCCTTCCCCATTCCCCATTACTTCCATGCCAAATCTTCCCCTCCCATCGCCTCCTCCCATGCACACACACGCCAACCCCGCTTTCAAAAATAGCATACCTGTAAAGCATGCAGAATATTGTAGAACACAACCGATGCCATCAACACGCTTGCTTTTTCCCCAACAGAGTCCCCTCGCTCTCCTCCTCCTCTCCCCTCAGGTCCGCCCTGGCAGTCACTTCCATCCATGGACTCTTCACACATTGCATCTCCCTGCCTCTCCTTCCCCTCTGCCAAATCCTTCTCCATCTCCCCTGCCATTTTTCCACCTTTTCCAGATTCTAAAACCGGACATGGAAGGCAGGAGCTTGTCCTGTCCCTTTTCGAACTGGGACTTAGACTAGGAACTAACACCACCCACTCAGACTCCATCTGCACCAACCCTGCATCATCACTTCCAGGTGGTGGCTGCAACGTGGCATTGCAGTTGCTTTGCAAAAATGGGACAGCTTTCCATCCCATACTGGCTAGCTCCTGTATCCGTATATCAACCACTCCCTCTCCCTGCTCCTCTCTGTCTGCCTCGCTCCCTCCCTGCTGCTCTCCTCCCTCCACTTCACTATCCTCCCCCTCTCCTAGTCCCCCCTGCCCTTCCTTCTGCACAAGATACAGAGAATCAGATGCCACAAGCGGTATGGGCAACAGCATTGCCTCATTCCCGTCCTTCCTGTCAACATGCACACATGTCACGCCCTCACAGCCACAGGGCGAGCACATCCACCTACACACACGCCTCCTCTTTGACCTTCCCATCCCTCCATCCTCTCCGATCCCCTCTTCCTCATTCCCATCTGTAGCCCTCCCATTTAGTTTCCCCAAACTTGTTTCCTCAAGCCCATCAAATTCCAAGCCCTGTCGCTGGTTTGCCTCGCATCCCACGCTCCTAACGCCCCTGTCCACAGATACGGCTTCCAACTTGGCATTCTTGCCGGGTTCATGGCCCTCTCCCGATCCCACCTCCCCCATGGGAGGAGGGTTAGGGGTAGTGTGAGGAAAGGGAGGGCGGAGAGAGAGGGGGATGCGAGAGAGGAGGGTGAGGAGGGAGGAGTCTTCACTGTGTGATGGGCTGAGTGTGAACCAGAGAGTCAGGGTGAGACGTTGACCTCGAGTCACCTGCCAAGAAGAAAGTTAAGAGATGCATTGAACCTGTTTAAAGACCATGGAACTGAAGCATGGGTTAAACAATTTGATATTCTGCGTATCATGTGCATATTGATGGTTGAAAATGTGCATATAGATGCCGGTTCCTCTCCTTGTGTCTCCCTCCTCCCATCAATCATTAGCATCCCCTTCACACGTCTTACAGGATCAACGCAATGCTCATTCTCCCCTGAAGCCGAGTATGCCACCAGTCGCTGCAGCCATACGAGAGACGAGACACGAGATGAGAATACAAGTTGACATAACAAACAGGTCAGGCATGCGTTCAGAGCCGAATAACACGGTGGATTGTATGACCGCATGTGGAGTATGCGCAGTGGGTGTCCCGATCACCAGGAGCATTCTACTTGCAACATACTCACCCCCGGCTTGGGAGTGACAGTGTGAGGATGGCCCTGTCGAAACCTGAAAAGGCCTCCATCGAAATCCTTGCCATACTCGTTCAAATAACACACTGCCTGAGACACATGAGGGCACACATGTGGATTCTGAGGCACAAAGTACCATGACAGTCGAGCAGTAGCAGTGCAGACCCAAAGTGAGCACAGAAACCGTGTGACAAAGAGCCTAGCCCAACAACAGAACACGACACAACAGAACCTAAAAACAGGACACGAGGGGCGGTAGTGACGAGCAGAAGGGGCGTGTTACAGCGAATGCGCGTTGCTTGAGGTAGGGCCTGTTGTCGTCAGCATGCCAGCCAATGCTGGCTCCGGGCAGCCAGCTGATGATCCCCGTGAACTCCACCAGCAGCTCCAGCTGCATGCCAAATGCCTCTTCCACCTTGTCTCGAATGCGATCTACCATGCATGCACGCACAACCGACCAACTCGAGTCACACCCCAGATACATGCTAATTACACATGTAACGCACTGCAGGCATACATGGCTCAGATACCTGTTGTGCTTGGTAGCACAGCGCGATCATGCTCGGCCAACATTGGGCCACACAGCACAACGAGAAAATCATCTGGGAGGTAAACAAGGCAAGAAACGATGAGGCGACCATGGAAGGACGATACAGGTCAGCTGACTATGCAGTGACTGATACAAGGGCACCTCGAATGGGGAGGATGGGGAGCATGAGCGGCGCGCAGTTGGTGGCAATGAGGTGGGCGAGCGTGGTGGAGCGCACATGCGGCCGGTACCCCACCGTGCTGCTGCTGGCGTGAAGGAACGCCAGTTCCTGGATTAATAGACAAGGGGGAAGCACAGTCAGGAGCGTCCGACGTCATTTCCGACATTACATGCGGTGAATACCACATGCTGATGCTGGCGTGGAGGAACGGCAGCTCGTGGATTGTGAGGGGCGATGACGTGTGCTGGTAAGTAGCGCGTGGCTTGCTCGCAATGAGGAACGAGAGCAGAGGGAAGTCGTAAGTGCGAGCGCGAGTCGGGTAGGGCGCATCCCACCCACCTCGCACTCATGCCGGCTGAGTACGTCGTCAAACACAATCCTACGTGGCGCGAAGGAAGCGTCAACAGCACTCGGTTGCTCAGCTTCACATGGATTCATGGCAACGGCGCATTTGCTCAGATTCGGCACTTCCTGCTTATCCTGCGAAAAGCTTGAAGCGCTAACGTCAGGTCTCCGGCTCACTCTAGTCGGAAATACTACTATGAGGTCATGGATTGATTGAACAGCGTCATAGAAAATCCTGACGTGACTCGAGTCGAGGGCCAGTGAGCATGTCGGAGCGGCTAGTCCCACGAAGCAATAAGGGACGCTGTCTTGCATGTGCAGATAACTAGGAGGGTGACGATATCGAGGACATAAAAGGGCCGACTGGCGAACATGCCACACGAGGTGTACCCTACAACTCGTGCCGTATGGATATCAAGACATATGGGCGGCATAATTTTTGTAACATGACGGGCTGGCAGCAAACTGCTGGCCCCACATCACAATCTAACCAGGATAATATCTACTGAACTTGTGTAAGTGCGTTAATAACGACTAGTACAAAACTATTATGAACACAAAGAATTGACCATATGGATAGGTAAAATCAACAACACCAGACATTATGTTCTCAAGCATTCCAATAGAACCAACAGCCCCATTTGCCAACACCGCCTCATGAAGACACAAATGGAGGGAAGGCAGAGGGCATGGCAGTGGTGCAGGGCGCCCAGAGAAGCAAGCCCAAACCATCCCAGCCAATAAAGGTATGGCAATGATAGGACTTGCTCTCCTTCAGCCGCTAGGCACATTACCAGCGGCCCAAGCCACATGCCATGACGCATCAAGCATCTTCGCGGCCCTGCCTTCCCAGCACATGCACAGTCAACCAGAGACGACACACACACAAGGCAGGACGCTCGGAGGAGCCACAAGCCCCTCCCAAAATGAGAACAGGTAAATCCAGAAAAGTGAAAACAGGACAATTAGATGCTCCTGGGACATCCATGGAATGTTAAGGTTCAACAGAAGGACACAGAACAAGCAAGAAAGCCAGTGGGGAGTACGCAACGCGACACAAACGAGAAGGCACAGTGCATACCTCCACGCAAGCCCCATGCACGCAGCAGCAGCCTCTCTAAGCCTTGGTGCGACCGTAGAACTTGGCCTTCTCGTCGGACGTCTGGAAGCGACCGTGGCCGAACTTGGAGGAGGTGTCGATGAACTTGAGCTTCACCTCCTCCAGCGCGTTGCGCGACGTCTGCTTCAGCAGCGACCTGCGCAGCGTCAGCACGCGCTTGCGCACGCCAGGGCAGCACCCCTTAATCATGATGTAATCCTCGTTCACGATACCGTACTGCGCGAAGCCTCCCATGGGGGTGATCTCCTTGTCCGTGCGGTCGTACTCCGTGCTGGCCTTGTGGCTCTCGTCGCCCTTCTTCCCGATCTTGTAGATCTTCTTGTTCAGCTCCGTGCGGTGATGGTAGCCGTTCTGACCGGCGCGGGCCACGGTGTACGGCACGCGAGCCGGATGCCACGCTCCAATACAAGCGACCTTGCGAAGACCGCGATGCGTCTTGCGAGGCAGGCGGGTAACACCCCAACGGTGCACCACACCCTCGTTACCGTGACCCTTGGTGATGGCGATCACATCAATCATCTCGTCCTTGCGGAACACGGCATCGATCGGCACAGCCTTCTCGAACAGCTTGTAACCCCAGTCGACCTTCTCCTCGATCGTACCGCCGTTGATCTGGATCTCCATCAGGTGCGACTTCTTCTGCTTGATTCCCTTGAGCTTGTGCACCTCGGTGTGCGCCATAACGCGGATGATCGACGCGTGCTTCTTCATGCGCTCAAGCTCCTCCTCGATCTCCTTCTTGCCCTCGTCCGTGCTGAACTTCTTAGCGTACTTGGTGAACGCCTTCTTCTTCGACTTGTGCCAGTTCTTGTACCACCGGCGGCGGACGTTGTCGCTCAGATGCCCGGCGTACACGTGCGTGAGCGTGCGCGGGCCGTGCGCGGTCTTCACGTACGCGACGAGACCGCAGACGATCATGGGGGGGGTCTCGACAATGGTGACGGCCTCCGCAGCCTCCTTCTTGTGCAGCCCTGTTGGGAGGGGACGTTCGAACCATCGCATGAAAGGCATGAACTGAGTGCGCGTCTAACATAGCAGCTAAGGAGGGAATGCGGGAACACACGATTTTGGAACCGTCGAGGGGAGGTGCGGATTCAACCCTAATCTGTGAGCAACATTGCGAGGAACTATATGAGAAGCGAAGCTAGGCTAGGCGACGTACTGGATCCGGGCTTCTCGACCTCGCGGACGATGTGCGTCATGCCCGCCTTGTAGCCCAGGAACGCTGTCAGGTGGGGAGCCTTGGTGGGGTCATCCTTGGGGAACGCCTTCACTGCCAACACGCAACACGGATAACGGCACGCACGCACACAGAGGAGCACACGACGGCTTCATCTAAGTTAATCAGCGACCCAACGATGACTCTGCACGGGTGCGTCTGGTCAATATTATGCGAGGGACATTAATGTCGGAACTGTGGACGCGAATTAACTTCCTACGGATTATCGGTCAGGGGACTACCTTTCCCGCGTGAGCGCTTGCACCGCTTCCGGGGCAAGAAGCCGAGAGAACCATGGCGCGGATGCTCGAACTTCCTGTGACTCATCCTGGCAGGACGTCCCTAGCCAAGAGAAATTAGGGAAAAGGGTCTAGGGAGGAAGAAGATAGAACACAAGTAGGCAGCGAAATGGGGAAAATCGCGTTGTGCCAGGGCGCACCAGAGGAGGTAGGCATGGGAAATTTTGGGGATTTGGTGCGGTGTGCAGGTGTCTAGAGGTCTTGTGGGGCTGGCTTTCGAGGGATTTTTGGGCATCGCGGAAATATGTCCAGACAGAACTTCTAGAAACAGGCTCATGAATACCGCTTCTACACTGTTATGCTCAATTCTGCTCAGTTCTGTTTAAACTTCACCTGAACCTGACATATTCCTCAAACTGTTCAAGTTAAAACTTTGCTACACGTGACAGCATAATTTATTACGTTAAAAACTTCAATCGTCACACCGCGACGTTCAGAAAGGATTGCTTGCTGATCCAAATCAAACTCCTCAAAATACAAACGTTGCAATTTCAGTACATGATGGCATTCTTTGGTAAAACCCGCGTATGGAACATATCATACAAGCACAAGATCAATTTGCATAGTGAATGTCAACGTCGCAAGCCAGTATGGTTATTGCTTCGGGAACCGACCGACTTCCTTGGCTGTTGCACCTGCTCCCGCTATCTTGGTGCTGGTACAGATGTGTCCCCTTGCTTTCAATGGCAGAACCTGCAAAACGAACTCATCCATACAGATATTATGTGCTTCTTCAAACTACAGTCATCAGATGTTGCTAACTCTGGGGCTGATTGGCGTAGTTTCCAGCCTGTCCCGGCTTGTTCCAGCGAACGGGCGGTGTGGATCGCAGCATCTCCAGCAGCTTCTCCTCTTGCGCTGCCTTGGCCGGCGACAGCAACACCCGACTGCCCTGTAGCTGCCCACTCCCACCTTCCTGCTCCCTCCCCCTCTCTCCCTGCACACCCCCTCTGTCGCTTCCCCCGAATGGGGAGGTAGCATAATCACTGGAAGGGGAGTCTTGGGATTGAGAAGCAAGAGAGAGTCTGTGCGCGTGGGGCAGGTGGGAGAAGGCAAAGCTTTCGTTGGCCAGACCCCGTGGACTGACCCCCCCACTGCCACTCACACTCACGCTCATGCTGCTACTCATGACACCACTTGCACTGCCAACCACAGAAGCCCCACCTGCCCGCCCCATAATACCATCCAACGCCGGTCCCACTCCACTCACAGTAGCACTCCGAACCACTAGACCACCTCCACACAAGCCACCGCCACTAGAGCCAACACTGCCACCACTCAGTGACGAGGATAAGGGCAGTCCGCCAAACCCGCTGCCCACACTGCTGAGAATCTCCTGCAGCCGCTCGTGCCCGCTCTTTCCTCCCCGCGCCCCTCCCCTCGCCCCTCCCCCTGCGCTGCTAGGCACCTTTTCTGACCGACTCTTGGTGAGCCTTGGCCCCCCTACCCGCCTGGACGCTGATCCCTTCCCTGAGGCGCCACTCTCGAGCCTGCGGCCACTGGATGGGCTCCAGCGCCCGCTCTCCGTGTCCTGCTCGTCGCCCTCCTCCTCCTCTTCCGCTACCCTCTGCTGCACCTGCTGCTGGGATTGGCTCCAGCGATGGCTCGAGCTTCTAGAGCTTCGGCTTCTGAAGAGAAGCGCGCCAATTTTGCCCTTGGACGAACCGCTCGGTTTCGCACTCGTTTGCTGTTCTACCGGTGCTTCTAGTGCCACGTCAGCGCGCGAATCTGGGGAGTGGACCGTGCCTTGCAGCAGCGGACCGGAGTGGCGCTCCGACGATGCTGGGAGCAGCCCCTGCGGCGCGTGCTGCTGCTGATTCTCGGTGATCGCAGGGAACGCGGCATTGTCGCCTCCAATTCCACTTGCTGACGCGCCGCCCCCCTTTCCCCCGCCATTGCCTGCGTCGCGCCCCCCGTTTCCCCCGCTTCCTCCGCACACTACGCCATTTCCCCCATTCCCCGCATTCCCCCCGTTCCCCGCGCCAAGCCCCATCACGTGTGTGTCAGCCGCCCCCTCCCCCTCGTGTTCCCCCACAGGCCCTACTCTCCCCGCATTCCTTGCGCGCATCAACACAGGGCTGAACCCGCACGCGTCTAGGAAACCCCCTCCCCCTCCGCCGCCGTTTCCGACACTGTTACCGCCTCCACCGGCGCTGTCCCCCGCCGACGCGGCAGACGGCCGCTCGCGCACGGAAAATGCACGGGTGAACATTTTCCGCGTCGCCGAGCCGCCCGCGCCCGAGCCTGCGCCAGAGCCGTTACTACCAGGGGTGGCCAGACCTGTCGAGGCGAAGATGGGTGAGACTTCCGGGCCTAGAGGCTTGGCGACGCCGCTGTCGTCCGGCGACCGAATCAGCGACCCCGACGACGTCACGTTCATGGATTTCGATCGCATGCGGTTCGCAAGGGCGACTTTTGACGGCTGCAGCGACGGCGCGTTGTCGTCACGTGGCGACTCGCTGCTCACCTTATTCGCCGGCGACGACCCATTGCTGCCGTCCGTCAGCTTCCCGCCGGCCGCGTTGCCGCTCCCGCCGCTCCCGGCGCCCCCGCTGTTGCTCCTGCTGTGCGAACCGTCATGCCCTACCCCCCCGCCTGCCCCCCCCGCAAGCAGCGGGTCGTCGAATCCGGGAAGCTTCTGAATCCATTTACGAAAAACGGATGGATTTTCCGCCGATAGGCGCTTGCCGATCTCCTTCTGGAGTCCCGTCGCGGTCGTCTGCACGGCTTGGAGGAAGATTCCCAGCTGCTTCTGAGCGAGCTCTGCCTCAGATACGACCTCCCCCAGGTCGCGGTGAAAACGCCGGAGGTCCGCGGGGCCGGCCCCCGCGTGCCAGACGTCGTTCCGCGTGGGCGCGTGGGGGATTTGCGCCAGGAGGTGGTTGAGTTGCGCCAATGCGGGGATCTTGTAGCAGTGGGTGATGTACCAGTCGGCTTTCCAGACCTCCCCCACCGCCTCCGGCGCGCCGGTGAAGCCCGTGGGCATGGCGAGGGGTGCTATTGGGTAAGAATGAAAAAAAGGTATCCTCTCGGAGGAGTAATGGGAGCAACGGAGAGGTACCCTTTAGTTACTAAAACTTGTTACGTGGTGATTTAATTAGTGGCGAACTGACTATGGCGTCGCCATGATGGCGATCACTGTGGCGATTTCGGCGGCACGGTCGAGGGAGCGCACCGCATAGTGATTGCAGGGCAGCGATAGTCCATGGTCGAGGAGGAAACAGGCTTCGGGTGTGCATTCCCCGACAGTCGCGCCATCGACCAGGCCATCTGAAGCTGGGTTCTACGGCGTGGCGGCGAGTCTGGTTCGCTTTGCCAGTGGCTCAGATCAATGGCGTCTGTGAGTGAACTTGCTTGGTTGATTGAAAACCTCCCTCCTCCACACGTCCCTGTTGCCCGCCATTGTTCATCTAGGCTGTTTGACTGACGATGAGCGCCTCCACATCCGAACCGAACCAAGGAGATTTTGATTCCCGAACCGAACCAACAACAGTGGCCTTGGAACCCAGCCTCCATTACGTGTAGTATACTGTACGGCAGAGAGAGTTTTGCAGGCTTACAGAACGATTGGTTCTGGTTCTAGGCACAACGCTTCTCCTAGCACAGTCAAAGAAATTGGTGCGCCATTTGGGTGCGTGACAAAATCGAGCTACACGCGATGCCCGTTTGACTAACCCAAGGTTGCCTTGTGAAGAGGGCTCTTAAGTGATTCTTGCATTTCGCTAAGCTTTCGCTAAACTTAGCAAAAAGGGCTTTTAAAAGATTTTGTAACTCGCTGTTGACCGTTTGACATGGGTCTCTTCTGTCAAACTTCGGTTTTTGTGGTTCGTATTGCTCGAGGTGCTTGTAAATGGGGTGCAACTGGCTGGTACCCTAATACACGGGTGCAGAGTTTCCATTTTGGCAAGGGAAAATTCGCGTGCAGGGGTTGGGCATCTTGTGTATCTTCACAGTACTGTCTGCAGCAGATGTCACGACACGACCCACGCGAACCTTGCGACAGCGCCGGGCCTATGACGTTCGTCGCCCAACCTACTGTAATCGTCTAGTCGGCTTGAGCCGCAGCGTGGTCCCAAGTGCACTGCTACAGTTATATTGCAGTTCCCCAATCAGCCACCCTGGACAACCCGAACCTCCAAATTTTGCCAGACAAGCCACCTGGAGACAGGTTGTAAAGGTGAGACTTGTCTTGTCAGAGTTGAGCAGTGGATGCGTCATCAATTTTTGTCGAAGCTCAAGCCGAGGCTGGGGCAGTTGTTTCAGTGACGACAAAATGTTTACGCACTGTGCACACCACTCCCGCCGATAAGCTAACTGCGCGTTTTTCGCGCAAGTGTTTTGGAGTGTGTGTCTGTATGCGAAACAGAAGGGCCTTTGGGTGGAGCGACCACCACCACCAGCACAGCTTGGATTTCATACAGAATCCTGATTTGCATGGTGCAGATGGCACTTCTGTATCCTCGTTAATGTCATCCTCGGCAGTCTCTTTGAAGTGATGTGGGACACCCGTGTAGCTAAAAATCCTTCATGTTATAGCAGTGAGAGTGAGGTGTTAGAACTTGGTGTATGTGTGATAGATATATGAGTTCCTTCAGTACAGAACTCTCACATTGGTCCAACGCTTTAATCGCGCAGCTTTTGGGATGCACCGCACTGCACAGCCTCCTGTGCTTGCGTAGTCTTTATCGAGCCTTTGGTTCCCGAATTCGGCGCTGAAGGTCACCACACAAACGCAGGCGTCACATCAGCATAGCAGCAATGGCCGCTCCTGGCAAGAACCTCGATGTTGACGCAACAATCACACGCGATAATGTCGACGACGGACGCAATGACCGCATGAGCAACATATCAGCCGAGATATACCAAAACAGCGGCGCCATATTAAGAATGCCCTTTACCGGCAGCACCAGAAGCAGTCTCGGCTGCAGCGGCAACGAATTCAGCATTTCCGATTCTAGGTCGCTAGACGAACTTCCCTCTGACGTACTCCTTATAGTCTTTTCCTTCTTTTCCCGCGGAACCCTCGCCACCGCTGCTGCTGTTAGCCGGAAATGGCGGCACTTGGCGAGCTCTGATTCGCTGTGGGAGGACCTGCTGCGATCCGAAGATCCCGAGGGATGGCCGATGGTGGTCTTCGCTGAAACGCAGCTGAGGCTCGGGCGAGGCAGCAGGTGAGGCTCGGGCGAGGCAGCAGGTGAGGTGACGTTGAGAACTCCAGGAAATCGTCAAATTTGAGGTGTTGTACTATGTTCCCTGATATCTGTTGTGCGCGGCGAAGTGGGTGTGGCGAAACAGGAGCGGTGTGAAGTGTCAGCTGCCAGTAGCACCAACCCTGCTGGACACCCCCACCTGCTCTGCTGCTTCCTCGTGCCTTCATCCGTTCCACACTCCCCCGTGCACGTGGCAGACCACATGGCAGTGAACTGGAGGCCATACCCTCGGGAATGACGAGGTGCCAGGGGCGGCAGCAGATGCTGCTGAGGCAGTGCGGCAGCAGCAGGGGCGCCAGCGGCCTGCCGTGGGGTGCCATCTACCGCCTGCGCGCCCAGCTGCCGCCCGCTGTCGTTGTCGATGGTGCGCTTCACATGCCGCATTCTCCCTGCTCTAATTCTTCGCACATTTGCAGCCTCTCCACGCCTCTCTCCACCTGTGGTATGGTAGCCCCTCACATTGTACCATGTGTGTGTGTGTGTGGGGGGGAAGGGGGGGGGGGGAGTGCAGGCGGGTCGGGGTACTGCAAGTTCGGCATGAGCAGCGAGGCATCGCCATCTGGACGCATCGCCACCTTTCTGGTCAGTCCATGCCTTCTGAGAATTTTCAAAAGCACTTCTTCTTTTCCACCTGGGAGCTCGCTTCCATTCTGCTCCTTCAAGTTTCCTCTTTTTTCCGTTCCCTGCCAGTAAGGCTATTCCACTCACACTTGTCATGTCCCTCGCAAACCACGCTCTGGTGGGTGCTGCCTCCCACCCTCCCCCACACCAGGAGTTTGGAAACATCGAGGCACCTTCCCTCGCCCGCCTGCGAGCCCTCTTCTCCTCCATCTATGCCAGGTGACGTCAGCACTTATTCTAAATGATGTCAGCATGCATTTCAAGTGGTGCGGCGATGCATTGCGAAAGGATGTTGGCACAATGAATCACTGTGCCTGTATGCTGTGTGCTCCTCCATGTCATCAACACTTTGTCACCCCATCCTTTCTTTCCTCGCATTCCCCTTCTATTCTTTCCGCCCTTTTTCTTTCCCTATGCCTTTCTTACCTCCTCCTTGTGTTATTGCATTCCTCCTTTTCCCCCTTCTGCATTTCCCCTGTCCCTCACCGTCCGCACTCACAGCATGAGAGCCATTCCCTCCAACCACCCTGTTGTCGTCTCCGAACCTCTTGCCTTCCTGCCAGGTGACTCTCTCTTGCCACCTGCCAGCCGTTATCTGTTGTTTCCTTCCAATTTGTTCTCTGTTGACATACGTCCACCTACAGGGTAGCATTGCTGGTAATCTGCAACTCATCATGCCTGCATTCTCAACTTGACATCCTGCCCTCACCCTGCCCGCCCTCCCGCCCTTCCCTGTGCTCGTCTCCCCTCTGCTGCACGCACAGAGACACGTGAGGCACAGGAGGGGAGGCGGCATCTGAGGGAGGTGACATGTGCCGTGCTCTTCAGTGCCCTGCGCGTGCCCTCCATCTGCCTTGTCGACCAGGTATCCCCATGCAACCAGGTAACCCCACACTCAGATACCAAATACTAGTTACTCCTTTACATTTCCACTCTGTCGCCATCCCCACTCCCCCCTCCCCCATCCCTTCTCCCTTCACCGTCTCATCTCTGTCACCATCGCCATGCCCCTCTCTCCTCCCTTCCCCCTTGCCTTCCCCCCAGGCCACCCTCGCTCTGTTTGCGGCGGGGGCAGCATCAGGCGTGGTGGTGAACATTGGTTTCCGCAGCACCACAATTTTACCCATCATGCGCGGCCGCACTGCCTGCAGCCTGCTGCCATTCTACTGCCTGCCACTCGGCGCCATGCGAGTCACGGGGCATCTCAGCCAGTTACTGCACGAGGCGGGGATCGTGTGCCAGTCCATGTTCACTGTGCGCACCATCAAGGAGGTCAGTGGACATGCACTGCCACTCCTACTGAATCAATCGCCTTGTATCTGCAAACTCTTCTTCTAATGTCTCCCCCTCAGCAGGCTGCTCTCAGCTTCTCATGCCTCACAGGCTCTTGCTAGATCCTTGTACACGTCTCAACTCACCGCCCTCCCTCCATCCTGCAACTTATCCCAACCGCTCACCCAAGCAGTCGCTGTGCTTTGTGGCGCGTGACTTTGAGGCAGCCATGAGGGGCGAGGAGAGGGGGGTGCGGGGCACGTGTGAGGTGCCGGGGGAGGGCGCCTTCACTCTCGGAAAGGAGCGCTTCCTCGCCCCTGAAGTGCTTTTCCAACCCCAGCTCTGCGGCCTGTGCGTCCTCTGCAGTCAATGTAGTCACTGCAGGGTCAACGCAGTCAATGTGTGTTGTCAAGGTGGTCAATTTCATATGCCGTTTTATCCTGTGCTCGCATTGTTGCTCCTCTCCTTGCTGCCGTGTATACTCCCTCTGTGACAACAGCATTGTTGTCATTCTCACCTCATCGACTTCCACTCACTCATTTGGTCTCCCTCCGCACGCATGGGTCCTTCCACTCTCTCTGTCCTCAAACGTACAAACCCTTCACGCTCTCCCTCCCCCACACACACCAGTGGCGGCAGGGGCATACAGCAGGCAGTGGCGCAGTGCATAGTGGAGTGTGCCGCCCGGGTCAAGGCGTTTCAGGCCCAGCAGGAGAGGAAGGCCACGCACAGCCACGTGGAAGAGGCTGAAGCTGCAGAGGAGGAGAAGGAGAAGGAGGAGGAAGGAGGGGATGTGCATGTGTCTGGGCAGGGGCGTGAAGGGGAAGGTGTCACGAGGCGGATGGGAAGTGGAGAGGGGGCAGCAGGGGCGGGTGGGGGAGTGTGGGGGCGAGTGCCTGCACCGCTGGCAAGTGAGGACGTGGCAGAGGCGATCAAGACCGTGGTGGTGGCGGGGGGCACGTCTGCACTGCCAGGGATAGCAGGTGCGCGCTGTGTGAGGCGCTTCTTGGTGGACACTCCAAGTGGGAAAGCTGAGGGTTTTATAGGTTGTGAATCTTATCGAAATCCTTCTTATTTCCCTTTTGCTAACCTACTATCCTTTTTTCCGTCCTCTTCTGCTCATCTGCTCTTGATCTTCCGCTCCCCCCCTCCCACACCCCCCCTTTTCCAACCTCTCATCCTTGACAGAGCGGCTTCATCTGGAGCTGCAGCGTCTGCTTCCCCCGCCCCTCGCTGACAAACTCTCTGTGAAGGCGGTAGGGCCGTATGGCACGTGGATGGGCGGCAGGACCATAGCCACTGTGAGTGCTAGTGATTATACCTGTATTGCTTCGTTACGACCACATTTGTGTCCGATAAAAATGTGTTTTTTTTTTCCCCTTTTTTTCGGATTTCTTTTCCATGCTTTTTGGAGTGCAGACGAGCTCCTTTTTATCAGCATGGGCTCTAAGCAGGGAGGAGTATATGGAAAAAGGACCATCTTCTGTTCATGCCCTTGCTATGGATACACACAACATGAACAGCCAGGCTCTCCCTGTTGTAAGAATATTCCCCAAGCCTTGATGGAGAGTGTAACATGATGTTGTCAAATGTTGTAGCCTATAGTGAGGTTTGTCTTAGGGGGTACAAAACTTAGGGTTAGCTATATGTACCCCAACCAACATCAATGCATCATCCATTCTTCATTCTGACATGGTATCAGTTAGGTTAGGATCCTGTGGGATCCCGTTCCTCCGTTCTCCGTTCGAGCCTCCCGAGCCTGATCCTAGCTCTCATTCGTCCCGGTTCCGTTGTTACCGCGCGTAGTGCCGCGCCTAGCGCCACTCCTAGCGTCGCGTCCTGCCCGCCCTTTCCCCCTCGTCGCGTCCCTTTCCCCCCGTCGCGTCGCGCCCTTTCCCCCCAGTCGAGTCGCGCCCTTTTCCCCCCGTCGCGTCGCGCTCTTTCCCCCCGTCGCGTCGCCCCCCCTTTCCCCCCGTCGCGTCGCGCCCTTTCCCCCCGTCACGTCGCCCTGCCCCGTCCCGTCGCCCTGCCCCGTCCCGTCGCCCTGCCCCGTCGCGTCGCCCTTCCCCGTCCCGTCGCCCTGCCCCGTCGCGTCGCCCTGCCCCGTCGCGTCGCCCTTCCCCGTCCCGTCGCCTCTGCTCCGTCGCGTCGCCCTGCCCCGTCGCGTCGCCCTGCCCCGTCGCATCGCGCCCGCCCTTTCCCCCGTCCCGTCGACCCTACGCCCTGGCCCGTCGCCCTAGCCCGTTCTTCCGCTGCGACTAAGTCCCCCCCCCCCCCACCTGAACCCTAATTTGCCTCTTACCTCCTGCTGTTACTCGCCTGCTCGTTCGCGTTAGTTCTCGCTATGGCGACTCCGCGAGTTCTTCGTTTCGACGCTGACGGTAGACCTCTTGACTTTTCCGTCTGGCTTCTTCGCGCTCGCCGTCTGTTAGAGAGTCAAGTCCAGGGGGGCGAGACCCTCTGGTCGCACGCTACTGGTGACCTCCCCGAGCCCCCCGAGCCTGCCGCTTTAGGTCCTGCCCCTGACGATGCTGCTACGGCTCGCTTTGCCCGTCAGCGCGCTGACAGGACGGCTTGGACGTCGCGTGACGCTGCGGCCTGCATCGCACTCAGCAGCCTCCTCCCTGAGTCAGAGGAGGTCCACTTCACTCAGGTTCGCACCGCTGCTGCGTACCTCACTGCGATTAAGGCCCGCTACTCTACTCCCGCTACTGTCTCTCTTGGCCGTCTTTTCCTCCCGTTCCTGTTTCCTGATCTCGCCTCGTTTGAGCGCTCTGCTGACTTGATCGCTCACCTCCGCTCGCTCGACGCTAGTTACCGCGCTGCTTGCACTGAGGCACAGCTTGCACTGCTTCCTCCCCCTATGGCGATTACTATCTATTTCATCGCCACTAGCCTCCCTGACCGCCTTGCCTCCGTTCGCGACGCGCTTCTGCTGAAGCACCCTAGTGAGCTCACCGTCGATGTCCTTGAGTCTGCACTCAAGGACGTCGAGAGCAACCTTCGCTCGGTAGCCGCTGCCTCTGGTGCTGTGCCCCCCCCCACTCTTCCACGGGTGCACAGTCCCGCAGTTACCCACCTTTACTGCCTCACTTGCCACTGCCGCTACTGACGCGACTGCAGCTGCTGTTACGACTGCGTCGCGGTCCCGCGGTAGGAGTGGCAAGAAAGGCGGTTCTGGTGGTGGTAGTGGAGGTGGAGGCGGAGGTAGTGGAGGTGGCGTTGCGCCTGGCGGCGGTGGAGGTTCAGGGCCTGGAGAGGCGCCTCGTGCAGTGACTGGTGACTCCACTGCGCCTGCTAGTGGTGGCGACGCCCGAGTTCGTCAGTCGCCTCCTGTACTTCCTGCCCCGGTTGGTGGAGCAGCGGCGTGGTACCAGGCTCAGCGTCAGCAGCAGCTTCTGCAGCACCAGCAGCCCCTCTCCTCCCAGCAGCCTCAGCAGCAGCAGCGGCAGCAGCTGGCTCCAGGGTCGGGGCTGCGTCAGACCCAGCGTGGTGCTGCTTACACTCCCTGCACCTACCAGGTTCTGACAGGCCCTCGTCGTGGCCACCCTTGTGGCCGGTTTCACCCCCCTGGTCAGTGCTTTGCTCAGCTCACTGACACGGTTCGTTTGGTCTACGGGGTTGGTGCTCCTGCCCCTGACTGGCTGCCTCTTGTTCAGCGCTACGGCTCCGCTCTGTGGGGCATGTCTGCTGAGCAGTTAGTTGATCTGATTGGTACTCCCCATGCTATGTATGCTGTTGTTGACTCTAGTGTTTCTGACTCTGCTTACTCTGGTGTTGTTAGCTTAGGTGCTAGCCTTGCTCAGTTGCCTGTTGCTAGTGTAGGTTCTTGTGTAGACTCTAGTCCAGCGGCTACCTCAGAGGACGGTTCGCTGTCGTTCACGCTGGACTCTGGAGCCTCTCACTGCTTCTTTCGTGACAGCACGACACTTACGCCTCTTCCTGCGCCTGTTTCTGTGGCGCTGGCTGATCCCACTTCGGGACCAGTCACCGCGCGTCACACTACCACCTTGCCGTGTCCGGCTGCTCCTTCTGGGTCTCTCACTGGGTTTCACGTCCCCTCGTTCTCCCGGAACTTGGTGGGCGTGCGACCCCTCGTGAGTCAGCACGTGGGTGTGTGGTTTGAGCCTTCTGGAGAGACTGCGGTGTGTGTTGACGGGGACTCTTACCAGCCCCTCGCCACTTTTGCTGCTGAGCCGGGCTCCGGTCTCTACACTCTTCACACTGGCCCGCGCGCTCAGCAGCAGCAGCAGCAGCAGCAGCCGCAGCAGCAGCAGCGGCAGCAGCCGCAGCCGCAGCCACAGCGGCCGCCGTCGCAGCAGCCACTCCTCCCAGTTCCTGTCCCTCCCCCTAGTCTCCTCCCTGCGTCTCACCAGGTGGTTCCGTCCCCTCAGGTTGTCGCGTCCAGTCCAGTCGCTGCGTCTTGCTCCTGTCGGTCGCTTGCCCACCCCACCGTTCTGTGGCACCACCGGATGGGACACCCTTCTCTTCCACGTCTGCGTGCTATGTCTAGTCAGCGTCTGGTCTTAGGTCTCCCGCGTGTCTTGCCGTCGCTGCCGCCGTCCCTTGCACCACCGTGCGGTCCTTGCGTCGAGGGTAGGCTGCGTGCCACCCCTCACTCCTCCTCCCTTCGTCCGGCCACCGAGCCTTTTGAGACGCTGCACTTGGACGTCTGGGGCCCTTCTCCTCGCCCTGGCCCTGAGCGTGAGCGTTTCTTTTTGGTGGTCGTTGACGACTACTCCCGCTACACCACAGTGTTCCCCCTGGCGAGGAAGTCTGAGGTGACTTCTACGCTGATCAGGTGGTTGCTTACCACCCAGGACGCTCGTGGTCGTCGTGTCAGCTGTCTCCACTCCGACCGCGGGGGCGAGTTTCGCTCCGGCATTCTCGCTGGATTCTGTCGCGAACAGGGCATTCGTCAGTCCTGGACGCTTCCGGAGTCCCCACAGCAGAATGGGGTTGCTGAGCGTCGCATAGGCCTGGTCATGGAGATTGCCCGCACCTCCTTGACTCACGCCCGTGCCCCCCATTTCCTGTGGCCATACGCAGTCAGGTACGCCGCGCACCAGCTGAACCTCTGGCCACGCGTCTCTCGGCCGGAGGCTTCACCGACCAGTCTTTGGACAGGGTCCCCTGGTGTCGCGTCGAGGTTTCGTGTCTGGGGGTGCTTGGCTCTTGTCCGCGACACCTCCACGGACAAGCTCTCGCCTCGCGCCGTTCCTTGTGTCTTCCTTGGTTTCCCTGAGGACTCCTCTGACTTCACCTTTTACCACCCTCCCTCTCACCGGTTCTTTGACTCCCGTGACGTCCGTTTCGAGGAGTCCACCCCGTACTACGTCAGGTACCCCAGTCGAGGTCTCCCGGTCCCTCCCCCCCCTCTCTTCCTGACCGCCGCTCCCCCGCCTGCTCCCCCGGTACAGCCTCCCCCCCCTGGTCCAGCCCCGTCTGGTGTGTCTCAGGCTAGCCCTCCCCCTTCGGTAGCCCCTCCTGTATATCCTCCCTCCCCACAGTCTTCCTCGCCGCCTCCTGCAGGTGCTCCCTCTCGGGAGGTTGGTCCTGCGACTGTCCCTGTACAGGTCTCTGGTTCTGGGGGTGCTGGAGTTGGAGCTGAGCCGCGGGTTGCAGAGGACTCTTGTCTTCCGGGGGCTGGTACTGGTCGTGCGGAGTCTGGGGGTGCTGGTGCGGAGTCTGGGGGTGCTGCGTCTGGGGGTGAGGGTGTCCCTTCGGTTTCTGGAGAGCCTGGGTCTGGAGCTGGTGTTAGTGCTGCCTCTGGGGGTGGTGTGCTTGGTGCTTCGGAGGTCGACTCTGGGGCTGCCGCTGCCCCGGACACTACTCCTTCCCCCCACCCCTACCCGACCAGGTTCCAGGCTCGTGTTCGCCGTGCTCGTGAGGAGCAGCTGGAGTTGGAGAGAGAGGAGAGAGAGTTGCAGCGGCTCGAGGAGCAGGAGCGACAGCAGCAGGAGCAGCAGCAGGAGCAGCAGCAGGGGCAGCAGCCGCTGGAGCAGCAGCAGCCGCAGCAGCCGCAGCAGCAGCAGCAGCAGCTGCTGCCGTCTCCTCCTCCTGTCTCGGGTCTTCGGACCCTTGGTCTCCCCTCTCCCTCTCCTTCCTCCTCCCCCTCTCCTCCTGTCTCTGGTCCTCCGCTTCCTCCTCCTGACCCCTCTCCCGCTGTTTTCCCTCGTTCTCAGTCTTCGTTGTCTCCTCCTCCTTCTCAGACTTGGGCCTCTCGTCGCTCCCCTCGTGCTCGTCCCTCGTCTCCTGTTCCCTTCACTGACCTTCGTACAGCCTTCCTTTGTTCTCGTCCACCTCGTCCGTCTCCGTCTGTGCTTCCGTCTCCTCCTGAGTCGGCCCTCACTGTGTCGCTTCCTTCTCCTGTCACTGACTACTACCGCACGTACCGTCCTGTTCTCTCTCGTGTTCTCGCCTCTCTTGTTACCCACCCTCGTGCCTCTGTGTCCTCTGTGTCCGCTCTTACTGCCGCAGTCACTGAGTTTGCCTCTACCCGCCGCCTTGACTTCGCCACCGCTCTTGTGGCTGCTCCTCCTTCCAGTCCTCTGGCCGTCGGG